GAGTTAAGATTATCAGAAGCAGAATAGAAGGTTTTCAGTTAAAATGAAAGTGAATGTCAAAGTCATTCTTAAAAGTGATCTGGAACATTCAAATATGGGATAAATTGATGAGGTTTTGGCTTATGCTTTTAAGAAAAATGAAAATATTGATGCATACTGTGGACAAAAAAAATTGTTGTTACTATATACCTGAATAAAAATAAGGAGGTTTAAACTTTTTTCACAGGGTCTCTATCATCTCTCCTTTATTTTTCATCTTCCAAAATGCTCTTGGGGTTTCCGGCTACATCCCAGAAATTAAAATAATATGTCCTGTAGATGTGTTCAAATCTCAAGGTCTGAAATGAATCTCCTAACTTGCAAGTTTGAGCAGAATGCCTGGCAGGTGATTCTCAAGTCTGAATTTTGAGAAAAACTGGGAAAGAAATTTAATTTCCTTGTAGAGTGTTGAAAACATCTTATACTGAATTCTGTGGTCATTTTTATTGGTCACTTTTTCCTACTTCATAGTCAAATAGGACCACTTACTCACTCACAGTCTAGTCATGAGTGAGACATGACTAGAGTCCATGTCTAGTCATGTCTAGTGACAGTTAGTCCAGTCCATGTCTGGTCCTTCCCCCTAGGAAATCTGACTCTCTTTTCTCTCTGTCTCTCATCACCAAGTTCAAAGGCTAACCTCTCTTCTTCCATGTGACCTCTGTATGTTTTCTGCAGTGGTCAACTGTCACAGATGTCTCTTGTTGCATATATGTGGCATTCAGGGTTTCTCTTTGTTGCCTGTGATTCATGTATGATTCTTCTCTTTGTCCCTCACATTGTCTTATACAGTCAACATTCTACAAACATGGTTGAACGAGGGAACATATAATAAGGTCAATAGCAGGCCAAAGCCTGCACTTCAACCCCACACCAGGGAGGTCATGTTGCTCTAACTGCTAACTGGATGTTCCTTATTTTGGTGAATATAATAAAAGCTAATGTTTGACATTGATTTGAATGTATTAACTGCATCTTTAAATCTCAGAATGTTCAGTGCTTAAGGAAGTTAATCCTCACCAAAGTTAGAGTTTATAGATATGATTTAAAATTTATCTTATAAAACAATACTGGCACACCCTTGTCATTCCGTCTCATTAAAGACCTAGCTTGCTTTACTTTAACTCAGTTTTCTTCAAAGAAGATTATTTTAATGTTCAGAATAATTCATCAGTAGTTACAAGCTAACATTGTATTAAGGACATTCCAATAAATAACACAGGAACAGACTCTTTTAAGTATTTTTAATCCCTGAACTTCATTCTTAGTGCCTAGAGCGAAGTTACATGATGTGGGTTGACATGAAAAGAATTTGGCAATGGATTTATAAAACATTTGAGAGGTTGTTCATGTGACTAAAAATAATTCTTTCTGAGACTGCAAAATTAAATTATATTGACCAGTGTTTGTAAGGCTGACTTAAGAAAGAAAGCACTGTTCATTTGAGGAAGACGAAGCCCGTAAGGGAGGCATCCCCCAACAAGATTTCCAGGCCCCAGGAACATTGCATCATCTTGCTCCTCCCTTATTTTTAAAGTTGAGCACTGGATAAGTCACCTTGGAGGAATGGAAGCAATTTATTAATTTGTCATTTGCTGGGAAAAGAAATTATCTGGAAAAAGAAAGCCAAGTATGCTGGCCCCACTCTCCTTTCGTTAATGCTAGGGTGTCTTTTGCCACGTTAGTGTCCTTGGGATGGAGCAGGTGCGAGCTTCCACAGTGTCTTTACAAGTGTTTCTGTGGGGCTCCCCTCCCTGGCTCTGCAGGACACAGCCCACCTGTTTAATCCCTATGTTTCACTCAACCTTTCTTATTATGCCGGAAGAGCTCTGAGGCTCAGCTGGATTTTGACTCTGGGAATGAATTGATGGGGCTCTTTGATCTTAGCTGTGTATTGTATTGCATCTGTTTCGTCTTCCTTCCTTCCAAACCCTGACTCTAGCCAGGAGTCCTCAAATAAGCCCATAATTATGCAAACAAACATTGTTATTTAAAACTCAGAAACAAAACATCATTTTTTAAAACCTCTTTGTGGCATGGTGAGCTTTCTAGAAAAAGAAGGAAAAAAACCACAACTTAACTCACTACTCTGGAAAAGACTATCAGATTTGAGAGTATTCAGGTATCAACTAATACATCTGTATCTGATGGAGTAGGGTCAAATGCAAAGAAAATGACAATTATCAGTCTTTGCAATTTTGTAAGTTGGTATAACAGCATAAAAACTTAATAATAGACCATATTGGGTGTGTGTGTGGAAGGAAGCAGAACCTACTTTGAAATTCTACCAAAACTTATCAAAAAATCATTTTTTCCCCCTTTGGTGAGAATGAGGAAATCTGGGTTCCAAAGAAAATCACTTGAATCAGAAAAAAATTATATAGAAAAATCAGTTTCTGGACAGGATGCCATTTTTTAAAAAAAAGATCTTTAAAATGTAAAATGTAGTATGTATGTTCTGGTATGAAGGAGAAATAGAGACATATTGAGAAAAGAGTTATTTAGAATTATTTGGTCGTTTGTTTTTAGCCAGGCCCCTGGAAGCACACAGAGCGGTGGCTAATTGAACTCTAAGTTGACAAGTTTTGATGTGAATTACTTTGATATTGATCAAGCATTTGGGATTCTTGTTATTTTTACTTTTAATTCTCAAGGGTCTTCAATTTTCTTTAAGTATTCCGTGATCTTGTGATGATATTGTAATGCCAAAGCTGTCAGAATAATTCCAACCGAGCAAGGAATTGATGTCTCCTAAAAGCCAGAGGCCTCCGAGAGCTTTGCAAATGTTTCTTGGAGAGGAAGATGGAGGCATGGCCATCTACCTTGTCTGTTCTGTTTAGCACAGATTTTATCCAAACATATGTAAACTACCTCTACGAATAGCACTTAGTGGATTGTCAGAATAGACGCTTTTCTTAGATACACTGAAAGATTTAAAAAAAAATACTATGAAGAATTCGGTTCATCATCATAATTATAATATTGTTTATATATCATGCTCAGTTGTGATTACCCCCCCCACACACACACACACCTGGAGCTGCTGTGAGCTATCCAACTCTGAAATCAGATTTTTCAAGGCTATTTTTAATTCTCCTATAGAGGCTTAGAATAACTCCACAGGAAAGAGATGGGAAAGGTGGACCAACCTTTGTGTAGGCACAACTTTTCAGAGCCCCATACCAAAGATAGCTTCACTCTTCTTTCTATACGATGTCTAGCTTGCCACCCACTGGAATACAGTTTTATTTACTTAGCCAGTTAGCGTTTCAACTCGAGAAAGAAGACCTAGAACCCAGTTGAGCATAGACGGGTTGTTTCGGTGTGTTTCACTTACTTTCCTTCACCTTTGCTTGCTTGCTTGCAAAACTTACACACCTACCTGATTTCTGCGCTTTTCTAATAGTGGATTGAAATGCCCATACTCTAGCCTGTGGACAGTCTTTGCTATCCGGACTTCTTTGAAGGTCTTATTTGGCCTTTCGCACATGAAATAGGTCAAGACAGATTAAAATCACTTGTTTTTGTGTTTGTGCCTTCTTGTGACTTCTATGTACCTAAAAGTGTGTCGGAGTAGTGTCCAAGGAGACTATTGATGCAATGCTTAGGGGACCGTAACTTTCCACCTTGGAGTTTGTATTCAAACCGATAAACAGTGCTGTCTGTCGGCACGTGCGTGGGTTTATCAATTCTCCTACTTCATTCCTCATTTGCTTTCTTATTAGTTCCTAGTAGCATCTGAGCAGGAAAAATTGACCTCTATCACTCCAGGTCTCCATATATTTTTTTTTGCTTTTATCTCCAGAGAACGTGTAGAGAGATCAGTTGTTGAGATGGAGACATAGTTTCTCCTGAAGGATTTTCTCCCAGATACCCTTGCGTAGACTCCCTGGCTGTTCCTTTGTATGACTTTCGCATTGTAGCTCTAGCGTAACTCCTTGACCGTCTTTGCCTCATGAACTGGCAGAGGACCAGGTTGAGGTCCCAGTGTCTGCTGAGTGACTGTCCTTTTTAGGACCATGAGCATGAACAGCTGGTTAAAAGGCCATGAGGAGACTGGGGAGATAACTCACTTGGTAATTATCTGCAACAGGCCTGAGCACCCGCATGCATGTCTGGTGGGTGTGAAGACCTACCTATATTCCTGGGGCTCAGAAGGCAGAGAAAGGGGATCCCTGTGCAGGGATCCCTAGAGCAGACTGGCTGGGTAGACTACCCGAAATGGTGAACTCTGGGAACAAGAACAGACCCCATCTCAATATATAAGGTAGAGAAATCAATCTAGGCACCTGACATCCATTTCTGACCTTTATACGCGTGCAAACACCTACCCCCACCCATAAACATTCATATAGATTTGTACACAGCACACACACACGTGCATGCATACACAAACACACGTTATAAATGTTTTTATTTATGGGTTTCAGTGAAAGAAATTCTGAAAGGGGAAACAAAACCAAAGCACAGGACTAAACTATATATCCTTTTGTAAGATTTTACCTGAATCCTAGACTTTTAAATTCAGAGTATTATTTCCCCATTCTCTTTTTAAAACAATTATCCTCAAGCAATTCAAGGGAATTAGCTCTTGGCAAAAATAAATAATCATTGAAGCTCAGTAGATGCTTCCAGAATTATTACAAGCTATGTTGTATCCGCTTACAATGGTCTTATTGATTAAAACATTTAGCTTTAGGTAGCTATATAAAGAAAAGACATGAATATTTAGTTGCACAAGAGAAGTTTCTTGAAAGGATTGTGTTAATACCATATTTTGTTATTGGGCCAAACATGATGAATATAATCTATAACTGTTTTCCTGTGTTACAAGAAAGAAAATAGTTCCAGGTTAAAAAAAAATGTGTCTTTACTTGTTAAAAAAAAACTTGGAAGATATGACCCTTCTTTTCATTAGGAATTACATCATCATTTCTTTTTCCTTCCTTTGCATCTTTCAGGAATTACCAAGTGGAATAAACTAAAAATCATGCTTTTATTGCACGTTTGCATTGAATCTCAGGACTGAGAAATGATGAAATTCTGCTCAGCAAGGTAAGTGAGAAAGGAGAAAAATGATATTCTTTGGTTTTGCATGAGTTTATGCCTTAACGTTCCCATGTTTGTTATCAGGCATGTCATTTGTATATTCTGTACTGTCCAAAGTAGACTGTAGCTTTGGTATTCCATGGCCACCAGCGAGGGTACCTGCCATCACCCGAGAGCTTAGTAGAAATGAAGAATGTCAAGCTCTAGCCAAAACTACTGAATCAAAATCCATACCTTAATGATACTCACAGGACTTTCCATTGTCATTTGAATTTGAGAAGAGGTACATGGAATATGCACTGTCAGTGGCCATATGGGACTATATCCATTTGCTGGATAAAAATTTTCTCTGAATGAAAAACTGAAAGCAATAGCAATCTCCATACTCTATAGTTGGCGCTCGCTGTCCACTACTGTTCAGAATGCATTGGAAGGAGTGTGCTAATGCTGTTGATGAGACCACCCTTTAGTTATTAAGGATCTTCAGGTGTTGACCATATCATCTAGCCTATGAATTAATGCATTTAGCAATTGCCTTTCTCCTTTAAGCCCTGTGCATGTTTTACAATGAGGTAACTGAAGCCATGGGTTACCCAAGACCATCATTGCCCCTTGCCAATTTAGGTATTCTAATGACTAGCACCAGCTATGCCCAAGGCAGGTGAACACTGATAGTTACACCTTTAAAAATTAAGAAACGCATTCTTGTCGTATGTGGGGAAAATGTGACACTTGACAGACGCTTAGGCTTACACCAGGGGTCCTTGAGATATTTGTAATGAGCAGTACATTATCGGATTTGTATATTTGTGATGCCAAGGGATGCCTTGGGTTTTAAACTCATGTCCAACTATATGGTATCAGTTCACACTTTATTACATACAGGAAACCTATCCTAAGTGGCTTCATTTGCCACAACAACAGCCCTAAACTCTACATTCCTCTGTCATCTAGAGGTCTGAATGTCTCTGTCTCTCTCTCTCTCTCTCTCTGATAACAAACATTTGTATTTCCATATTTCCGTGCATGAGAAGCAAGCGCCTTACTTGATATGAATCTAGACTTGGATAAAATACGGGAATTTAGTTTGAATTCCTCGTTCTGTATGAGATCTTGTTGAAGGAAGGCGTTCTTGGATAGAGAAGATGCTGCAGGATAGAGGAGAGGCTGCAGGCAGGTCAGCATTCTGCCATTTGGTAGTTGAAGAAAATCAACTCATGCTACACATGGTACCGGAAGCAGTGTGGAGATGAGAATTGGCAGCAGGAAGTAGCAAAGTCTGTGGCACAGGCGGGCAGAAATCATCACCCGGGCACACAAAGCTGTAATGACCATTCCTAGCTGTGGGACAATGGGAACTTACAGAATTATTTTTACAAAAACTGAAGTCAACTACCCATTCAAAGAACAACAAACTTTCTTTTTATTAACTTTGTAACAGTTCGTTGTGAATTTCACTTCATACACCTAACCTGCTCATCTCCCTGTCTCTCAAAATGCACCCTCCATCCTTGTAACCTCTCCTCCCAAACACTTTCTTTACAAAGTCTTTATGTGTGTTGATTCAAAAAAAAAAGACCTGCAAGTTTGTGTGTATGCGACTATAATATATTACAAGGTATGTCCATGTATATGAAATTTGTACATCTGGAAACTATATGCTCTTTCCCTTCCAAGACCTTTATCTATTAAGGCATCCATTGTGAGCAATTCCTGGCATAGTGTTTACAGATAATCTCCCAGCATATAAATTAAATACAATATTCTTATCATACAGAAGAGTGATTTACAATGTATATGGTTCTATGCCTTTCTTTGCTTAAAATGAATCATAGGGAACACTTCATCCCAAAACTTCTCCATTTATTCTAGTAACCCCATGACATCATTATAGTGCTTTTTTCTATTACAAACAGTGCTACCCCTAGTATCTTTCCCATGCATCATCAATCATATGTAAACATATGTAGATACAACACATGCATTGTATATACATGTCATATATATATATGTGCACGCACACATATGTATGTATGGCATCACTATGTGTATAGCCCCAGGTTTTCACATTCAAAGCCCTTATTTGTTTTGACTGAAATGAGTTAAACGACAGCAAATAACTAACCAATTAGCCTAGAAGGCAAAGCAATAATAATTGGCAACATCATTTACCATGTGGTACTTTGCAATTACACCTTTAATTCTTATTCCTCGTTGAGGTGGATATTAACACTCGTTGCTGTGATTCATCAGTGGAGAATGCTGGGCCTCGAGTCCACTCAGGAAGCTTGACTTTAGTGCCTCTGCTGTTCTTCAAAAAGCATGTTGGTTTCCAATGATTCTGTTGCTGCGGTGCTAGTGATGGGGCATTTATTAGGCACCTACTGTATGATCAGCAGCTGGCATGTATTATATGCCACCTCTGTCAGGGTATTCCAGTATGTTATTGTTGTCTAAGACTCCTAATGAGGTTTAATCATTTTCTCAAGGTCTCTGAGATAATAAGTTAAGATCTAAGAATGGAAAGGAGACAGGGCATCAGACGCCTGAGACTAAGGCAAGCAGAGGAGGGAATTCCAGGCATTCGCTTACACGCCTAATGTTCTGGAAGGCAGAAATGAAATTTAAATATATGAGAGATATAATTAAACCTATTCAAGCCACGAGAGGGCTAGGCAGGAAAAGCTGTCCCATGAGTCAGTGGAAGAGGATTCAGGGCACACTGGCAAGAGCATCCACAGCAGAGTCATGATCAGTGGTCTTTGTGGACCCAAAGGGGATCCTCATCTCAGGAGAGTGTTTTCAAAAGGACAGTTGACTGGTCCTCATTCATTGGTTCAACCTTTAAAACATCCCACACCCACGTGCTTTGTTTATACAATAGCCCTATCATGATAAGGGGCACAAGTTGGCTCTGCTCCAAGCCAGGCTTTGTGGCCATGGGCAGCAGAAATGAGCAAATGTCAAACTAGGTAAGGAGCTTTCCAGGCAAGCTGGAGCCTGGGGCTTCTCTCGGTGCAATCTACTCTCTGTCACATCCTTGGTGTAACCGCCATGTTTCTGGAAATCTTCATGGTGATTTCAAACCTATGTAGTCCTTTGAAGGTAACCTATGTATCTGTTAACATGTATTCTAGGTCCAGTTATACTTTGTGGCTGAAATTTTGAGTATTGGAGGCTTTTCTTAGCATTTGTATTTGTTGATTTTTTGTTAAAGTTTTGCAAGTTTTGCAATCTTGGTCATATCTATGTGTGGCTGAAGTTATCACACTTTACTTGTTTAAAAATGCCTCATCTACTTTCATGGATATTGGAGAATGATTGATAGAAAACATGGAAACGTGCAATAGTTTTTACACGGTAATTATAATAAGAGAAATAATTAAGCTATGTAATGCAGTCCAGGACATATGCAAGGAATTGTACGTGTATTATCTACTTTAATATCAATTTCCTGCCATGTAGTCAACCTGGTTACTGTGCTGTTTGGTAGCTGAGGTCTTCGGCTGTTGAGAATGAGGAATCACGATGCTGCAAGGGGCAAGGTTTTCTCATGCTCCATAGCCTACGTGATGTTCCCCGCCCACCAGTTCTGGGCCTGTGAATTCAACTACCCACAGGTTGAAATAGTCACAGGTAGTGAATTCAACTACCCACAGGAGAAAAAGTCATGGTATCAGAATGAGAAACATACAGACATTTTATATGGCTGTATTAATTATCTTTAGTATAATTTAGAGTATAGAGGAGAGTTACTTGGGACGTATGTCAACAGTGACTTGACCAATGCCCCACCATGAAGGATGGCTATGATTTCTATCCAGCATTGCCCCTTCTAGACTTTTCAGTAAGTATCATCACAAGAAGTTAGTATTCATCTTAAAAAGGCAATTTTCTCATCTTTCTCATAATTGCATCCTGTCTACGTATGAGCAAATGCCAAAATTTGTTTATTAATTTCTTTCTTTAGAGACATAAAATTTGTTCCTTTTCTCTTATTAGCTCTACAACCATGAAAACCCCTACATATAGTATATTTTATTCTCTGAATCTTTTCAGTTTGAGTCAAGATCTTTTAGATAAATTGTAACGTCCTGAATTGTAATCATTTTATAGGAGAATTGTCAATGTACTTGGCATTCTTTTAAAATCCCTACTTCAGCCCCCCCCCCTTTGGAATTAAGTCTTTCTATTAACTTAAAAATATATTTAAAAATAAGTATATGAATAATTAATTTTCGGGGCCTAAAGAGTGGAGTTTTGCATTCCCAAGACAATACACATAGACCAGGTAGCTACTCTTCATCCATGTGTGTAACTTGAGTTAGCCCTGTGCTAAGGCCTCGAGTAGCTGCCAAAGCTGTCGTAGTGAGCACGGTCAGAAGAGCGCACTTCCAAGCAAAGCTTACTGAAAGTAATCATCAAAGCTTGTCTCCTTGAAACTGAGCCACGACAGACAAACTTCCATCCCCTGACATTTCCAGCATCTTTGTTCTTTTGCCTTCTATGATTCATTTTCTTTAAATGCCAGCCTCAAGAGATCAAGGTTAAAGATTATATTGCTCTCAAGAAGAAGCCTAGATCAACATGGACATGAATATATAAATAAATTTTAAAAATTTCTGAGACCTCCTTATCTAGTTCTGATGAGATTTTGAACCCCTCTTATACACACACACACACACACACACACACACACACACACCACACAAAGAAAGAGAGAGAGAGAGAGAGAGAGAGAGAGAGAAAATCCCCTAATGAATATATTTCCTTCTTTCCACCAAATAGCTCTAAGTTATTAAAGATCTATGTGTTTATTTTCTTAGGTTTTTAGATTAAATCAACCAAGTGTGGCGATTTAGAATCCTCTTGTAGTGATGGCCCCACACGCAAAGTGAGTGGGCACAGATGACGTCAATCAGAACATAGCCTCCCCAGGGTTGATCTAAGCCTGAGTCTCCAGGGGCAGAGCTCTTAGACGCATTCTTAGGGCAGAATAGGAGAGG